ATATTTAAACTTGTCCAGACGTATTTTTTAAACTATTTCCAAAAATATGATTTGTAAGAATATAATAATATCATTTGGCTTCGTGTCTCTCACAATATAAGTGTCTTTTGAGATGAATTGGTTTGGAAAAACACAGCAGCGTGATTGAATGATGTTCGTGTCTTACTCTTACAAGAACAGCTAACTAATTAATTTGCGCATTGGAGAATGGCAGTGGGAGTGGCAGACCAAAATGATTGTGCTTCATGAAAATGAATGATTTCGACCATCAACGGCTCAAACTTTTAAGGGGAATTAGCTAATTTGTTTTCCCTGTCCAATACCATCGATCTCTTACATGACTGTAAAGTTTGTTAGTGTTAACATTTTTAAGTAGTATATTTTTTTTTTTCTGGAGTATCTACAGTCGATAGAAGTGACTAATTTCCTCGCTACGAGGAAGGCACCTTAAAGGGTGAGATAGTTGACCTCAATATTTAATATGACTGTATACACAAGGCAGGATTCGAATCCTGACTTTAGTTAAGCGTAAATCAACTCTTACCACTGAACCACACGCTTGGATTTTTTTTTTAAGTAATATGATAATAACATAATAATTAAGAATCTAATAACATTTTATAATGCAACTTTTTGTTTAACTTAACGAAATTGATTTATAAGATAGGAGTAACTTTTGATCTTATTATTAATTGACGTTAAATTTTAGTGTTTTTCTAACACATGCCTTCGAGTTCAATACTAGTAATAGTGGCCTAGTGTATATGAATAATATTATAAGTGTTATATTAACAAATTTAGGAAGCTCTAGTAACATTTTAAAAATGTTAAAATAAAAATTCTCTCTATTTATATATATTTATTCTTATGGACGTCAGATTTAGAATTTTATAGTTATTTTCTACCAAGAATTTGCACCAAAAAGTAATATTAATTGAGATATTGTTATGAACAACCAAAAATATACACACGAGGGGCTAAGCTAAGAATGGAAAGAAATAACGTATTTGCAAATATTTATAAATAAAATTTGTTATGGATAATAAATGAATAATATAAATAAATATTCACGAATTATAAATATGAATTTTTTTTTCTATCCACTTGTAAATAGATTAAAATCGAGTGTAATAATATCCATTGCAAGTACCAATGTTATGTAATTTTATTTAGCTACTCTTAAGTTATTGTTTATCATCATTTGTAAAAGGGAACTTCACATTTTGATGAGTTACAATTACTTATCTTATGTTGATCAACTGGAAATTTTGTTAATAATTAATTTTTATTTTATAAAGTGATAAGTTTATTTTGTGAAATATAAAATAACATCAAATATAAGGAATACTTTAAAAAAAATTAGGATGAACACAATTCTAGAATTATTTCAACAAAATCAACATCAAATGCAAACTCAAAAATATTTTTAATATATTTTTTATTATTTTTAATTTTTAAAAAGTTTCGAAAGCATTTTTATGAATATTTATGAATATTTACATGTATTAATAAAATTTGCAAATATACGACAAATCACTTTAAATTTGTGTTATATTTTTTAATGACGCTTTCTTTTAATGTGTTTTTCATCGTTGTATAAAAAATAAGTTTATTTTTATTTCTAATAATTATATTAGAGTTGATGATTTGTGTAACTTGACCTATCATATATTATTAGTATAAAAATTTTACATTGTCAATTAATAAAAAATTAATATCATTATGATTTTTAAGATAATTATTATAAAATATTATAAATTTTGATTTGTAAAAGACAATATAAATTTATTTTATACTATTAGTGCATAATTTTTCTTTCTCTCTCAAACATATATAGAGAAATAAAAAAAATTTAATAATCATGCATTATCAATATAAAATTTTTATACCGTTAATCGATAAGAAATTATTATATAAAAAATTTTACACCATTAATTTGAGAATCAAACCCAATATCTAGCAAATTGTACTTTTATTATCTTATTACTAGTCAGTAATTACAAATTGTAAAAGTGTAAAACAAGAGTTACAAAACTGTAAAATAATTTGGTTTACATTCTAGAATTTGATTTATGTTATAATTTGATTTTTGTTGGACACTTAAAATCTTGGACTAATATTTATTTATAAATGTTGGTTTATGTTGTTTATAAGCATTTTTAAAAATTTATACTTTAGTCTTTTTTTAGGACATTAATTTTTTATTAACACTCAAATATGTTATTTTAACTATGTTTATAACATGTTTGTATTTAAATTTTGAGACGGAATTATGTAATTTTTATGTCTTTTTTTTATTTTTACAATTTGTAATTTTTGTGGTTTTAAAAAATAGAAATCTACAATGTTTTTTTTAGAAAATTCAATTAATTGAAACCGAAACAATTCAATATCGATTATATTAATTTAGTTTAATTAAATTACTTTTTTATATATATAAATTTGATTTAAACTTATACTCCAAATTTTAACCAAATCAATACATAAATATTCCTAATATTTTTAAAAGAACGGTGGAAAGTTTTAAATATGACTAAATCTTATATTGAGAATTAGACTCATCACTGATCTTAAAGACGGAAGAATATACACATATCTCGATATCTCGAAATGAAGGTATAAATCCTAATTATTGTGATTGAAAAACTATGTGTATAAAATTAACCCACAACATAAATATCTTATAAATAAATTTTGACTAAATTTATTTTTTATTTTTATCTATCTACAATTTTAATTTCTTTATTTTAAAATAGAAACATACAATCTTATTATCAAAAATACAAAATTTTAATCTTATAATCAATCTAATATTCATTTATTATTAAATTTTAATATTATTTAATAATCTACTATAACTTAAAAAATATAATATTTAATAACATGTCATATAAAAATATAAATTAAAAATAACATATAAAAGATCTTCATTTATATCTATTTTTAATGAATAATTGATATTATTTTATTAACAAAAATTTTATTTGTGTTTTTTTAATTTTTTTTATTTTTAAATATCATGTTACTAGATGTGATATTACTTAAATACGAATAAACATTAAAATTTAATAATTAATATATATTAATTTAATGAAAAGACATATTTTTAAAATTAAAAAGATTAAATATTTTTTTAAAAATAATAGGACCAAAATAATAAATTAATAAAAATAAAGAACTAAAATTAAAATATAATTTAGTCATAATTTTTAATATATATATTATTTAATTTTGTTCTTCTTTAGTTAGTATCAGATATAGATAACTCACATTGTCCATGTCAATATCATTTTCCATATCTTTATGATTACAAATCAATATTAGGCACTAAAAAAAATGATATAGGGTAACATTTTCCATATGTGTTATTATGATTACAAAAACTGGGTTCCACCAAGGCTTTTAATTCTGTACCCTGACACTTGGCGGCTAAAGTTGAGCTGCACCATATTCAATTCCTCTCAGTATCTGTATCTGATGCTTTCCTGAAAATTCATTCTTCATGGGCCTACTGTTGATTGCGATTAATGGGCCCTACATCTGTCTCACAATTTATTTTATGGGCCCCCATCTCATCGGCCTTTCACTCTTCACTCTTCTCACACAAATTAATTTGCTCTTCATAAAATTACTCATGGGATCCCCCAGACAATTTAAAAGAGACAATTTCTTTTCATTAAACATATTCCTCACTGATATTCCAAGATTGATTTCTTTTAAAACATTCAGATCAACTGAGGATCAAAATTTCTTAAATGTAATTAAAGAATTTAATTATCTATTCACCGTGATAAACCTTGTTAGTAAGCAATACCAAGAATGTTTACACAATTTTAAGATTGATGAAAAAAGAGTTTGTGTATGATTAGACAAACAATGCATGTAAAAAAAATATGTCAATAACTTGGCATTAATCGTTTGCGAAATTAAAGGATTCATTAAATTGAATACATTGAAAATGGAGGATTTTTTACATTATTATTTTGGGTGAATCCGGAATATCTCCTAACTAAAAAAGTAGAGACTAATTTTTTAAAGAATAAGATTTATTTAAAAAAATCATGAGTGAAATTAACATGTACTATTGAAGAGATTGAACTTCTCACTACATGTTTAATGAACAAAATTATTGACAACCATATTTTTTTTTTTTGTCATTAATTGTTATATATGTGGTAAGAATATTTATTTTTATCATAACTATTTTAAAAAATGTCAAATTTACAATAATTTTAATCGTTTAATAGTGTAAAAAATTTTACATTAACAATACACAAAAAATTATTATATAACATGTTTTTAACAAGAGCATGATTTAGTTGTTTTAAGTCTATATCCTCGCACTATTCAATAACTTTTTACGAATAATAACTTTTTCTAAAATATATTATTAGAGAAAAAGTTCTTACTATATGAACTATATTTACAAACCTTATATTAATATAAAATTATTTAATACTCGATTGATATACAACAAAATAAACATAAATATATACTTTTAAAATATATAAAAATAAGAACTTTTTTATATGATTATTCAATTTTGACAAAATTTAATTTACACACAAATATATATTGTTAATTAGTTATTATTTAACAACAGGATAAATAAAAATCATGTTTTATAATTGATGGCATAAGAGTTAATATAATTTATAATGGTGTAAATCAATCTTTAATTTCAATACATGATGCTTGATTTGCGTAACACAAAACTCGGAATAGAGAAACACATTGAGTCCAATCAAACCAAAACATAATTTATTTAATTTTTGTTCAATAAAACTAAAACTAAAATTAAAATAGCTGGCCTTAGTATGATTTTCGTACGAGAAGCATTTAGTACTAAATAGCAAGTGTAATATAATGCTTACCTCACAAAATGAAGAAGAAATGTTTAACACTAGTTCTCCTACTTTAACGTATATCCACTATCCTTGGTAGCATCTCTTTTCCCCTCTCTCTTTCTCTCCATTTGCATGTGTATGGTTTTTCAGAAATCTTCATGCATGCATGCACATGACAAGGGTTTTCCCAGCACCCCGTTTGCTACAAGCGCCCAATGGATGGCACCAACACGTCAACCCTTCTCGCCATCTCGTGCAGCAGAACATCGTTAACATTACTGTCAATAACTTAACAATTCCCTTCCCCATTCTGTGTCATTCAACACAAGATGCTCACTCTTCTGGCATTTTTTCTGGCGACTCACCCTTTTCTCACTCCTTCTCACTCTTGATGTTCAATCTCATCTTCATCACCTCCATCACCCGCATTGTTCGCATCCTTCTTAAGCCCCTCAGACAACCTTTAATCATCTCTCAGATAATAGTAAGTTTCTTCTTGTTACATTTAATTACCATATCATTGTCATGGATCCTCTTATAAATCTTCTTCCTACTTTTATTAAATGAAAATGTAAATATGTTTATGGATCCAAAATATAAAATATATTTAAAATCTATAAAATTCTCAATATTGCCTATCAATCACAAATCATAGAAAAATTGTTAGAGATGACTTAATAGTGAACTTGGAAGATTAAAAAGTCAATAAACTCACAATATATAATGAGATTTTAATTTGGTCTTGTCATGACTAATTATCATTCTCTCCTAAGTCGATTATTTAATTAATCTCTCGATTTGACTACCTAATCTCCTTTATGTTGATTGTCTAATTTTCTACATGTTAATTACCTGGTTCCCCCAAACTAATTTTATTGTTTGGACCAATATTGCTCCTACTCACCCACATAGTTAGGTGTGGACTGATTTGACCATATCGATATCTAATTGACATGATGATATGTAATAGATGATTTATGTTTATAAATATATAAATTGACTATTAAAATACAAGGTGAATAGTTCTATAATTTTGGAAGACTATCTCAAAAATCTTAAGAATCTTATATTTGTTAGTTTATTAGACTAGAGACTAATCCTGCATGCAAAATCATACATGATATGTGATTAAATGATAGTATTTTTTTTTTACAAAAAAAAGATATTATTTACTTTTAAACATTTACCATGTAAAGGAAGTAAGAAGATTATTTATGATGAAAATGTTATATTGAGGATTTAGAATCATTGCTAATATAAATATCAAATTGTATGTGGCATTGTGATCTATCATCAAATTGAATATTGTTAAAAAAAATTATGTGTTTATTCCAAGGGTGGTGTGATTGTTGGACCTTCCTTTCTGGGGCGCTGTAGATGGTTCCAGCATCACATGTCAAACGCGTCAAGCACATTCCTGGTGAACAATCTTGGAGTAATGGGATTCATGTTCTTTCTTTTCACTTACGGTGTGAAGATGGATCCAGGCCTTTTGAGAAAATCAGGGAAATTGCATGTATCTACTGCATTGATTGGCATAACAATTCCCACATTCACAGTGTTTGCTGTGTCACTATGCTTGAGAAAAAACATGGACAAAGAACTAGCCAAGATTCCTTCATTAGGAGTAATATCAGGGTACTTGGGTGTGACAGCATTCCCTGTGCTCTACCACATCCTCAAAGAGTTTAACCTTCTAAATTCAGACGTGGGGAGAGTTTCACTGGCCACAGCATTAATTGGTGATACATTTGGTTTAATTTTCATCATGGCATTTGAGGCAGCAAGTCAAGGAGAAGTAAAAATAATGAATACCGTGTGGTACGTGATTTCTCTTGCGGTTGTGGTGTCATTCCTTGTGTTTTGTGTTAGGCCTGCGATGGCATGGATCAACGACAACACTCCAGAAGGGCACCCTGTGCATGAGTCCTTTGTGTTGGCCATTATTCTAGGCTCTTTTGTGATGGGCTTCATAACTGACATGTTTGGCATAGCAATTGCTAATGGGTCCTTGTTCTTGGGCCTCACTATTCCTAATGGGCCTCGTGTGGGAGCAACAATTGTAGAGAAGACCACAACAATCACGAATGAGCTCCTCTTGCCATTCTCTTTCCTTTTGGTGGGATCACAAACTGATTTCTATGCCATGAGTGCTTCTGATTGGACCAGATTGTCACCGTTGTTTGTCATGGTTATAACTGGCTACTTCACCAAATTCTTTTCCGTTTGGATTACTCTGTACTTTTGGAGAGTGCCATTCAGAGATGGACTAACCCTCAGCCTCATTATGAGCTTAAGAGGCCAAATTGAACTTTTATTGTTTGTGCATTGGATGGACAAAAGTGTAAGCACCGCCTTTCATATTTACATTTCTTCTATATTTAATTCCCTACTTAGAATTTGGTTCAAGAGTGTTAGTACTATATTCTGTCACACAAAAAGATTACTACATATTCCTCCATCATCACATATTTATGGTTTTGATCATTCACATGACATATCAATAATTGAGATTTTTAATTTACAATAAAAAGTTAATAAAATTTGATTACGTAGAGATTGATCAAAATCATGATGATCTTATACCATGAAATAACTTTTCTCGACATACTTGTGACACATTCTCTATTATTAGTTAAAGTTATTGAAAATCACAAAATTATGAATAAAATTTATAAAATAAAAAGAGACCTACAAAATTGTGATTTTTAATAAACTTTGATCAATAATAAAGAATGTGTTTGGAATAGTGTATTACTAGCCTTTCTGATGATGGAAGAGTACAGGAATTGATCCAATTGTTGTGATTGCAGATCTTAAATGTGCCAGGCTTCACATTGTTGGTTCTTATGACAATCATAGTGACAGCAATTTTCACTCCTTTGATCTCCATATTATATGATCCATCAAAGCCATACATGGTGAACCAAAGGAGGGACATTCAACACAACCCTCCAGACGAAGAACTTAGGATAGTGTTATGCATTCTCGACACTGAAAACATAAATGGTCTCATTCATCTACTTGACATCTCCAATCCAACCTCAAGCAACCCCTTCTCAATTTATGTTGTTAGACTAACAGAGCTCATAGGTCGTGCCAACCCTTTGTTCTTGGACAATGAAAAGCAACAAGTTCCTCCCATGTATCAATGGACAAACACAATAAACATCCTCAAAACACATCAACAACTTAAGGGAACGTTTATGAAGCTCCATTTCTTCACATCTGTGGCACCAAAGCAGTCAATGTTCCGAGACATATGCGAGCTTGCCCTAGAACAAGAGACTTCATTAATCATCTTACCTTTCGACAGTGTTGATGTTCGCAACCATGCAGTGAAAACAGTGAACTCACAAGTGTTGAATAATGCACCTTGCTCAGTTGCAATTTTTGTTGACAAGGGTCTTTTTCAAATGAGCAACACGGGAAGTTCCTTTCGTCGAACTAGGCATCGATTTGGTTTGTTGTTTCTCGGGGGTGGAGATGCAAGAGAGGCCCTTGTTTTTGCAGATAGGATGGTTGCAAACGAAGACGTGTTCCTCACAGTTATAAGGTTTCTCTCTCACAACTTCATAGGGTACAATGAGTTGGAGAAGAAGCTTGATGATGGAACTGTGACATGGTTTTGGGTCAAGAATGAGACGAATCAAAGAGTGGCGTACAGAGAGGTGGTGGTTAGAAACGGAGAAGAAACTATTGCAGCAATTCAGGCGATGAATGATGGTGCTTTTGATCTTTTGATAGTGGGAAGGAAACAAGGGATAAACCCTGTTATTCTCACAGGGTTATCGGAATGGAGTGAAAGTGATGAGTTAGGAATCATAGGAGACTATGTTTCCTCTGAAGATTTTTTCGGCTCAGCTTCTGTTTTAGTTGTACAACAACAAATCCTAAGAGGCTGAAATTGGGATCTGACACTGCATGCATGCATGCATGGTGGTGATCTTAAAGGCTATATCATAGGAATTTGTTGGCTAAGAGTTGAGACATTAATATTGTTTAACCACACTTTCAGTTCAGGTAACCAATAGATAGACAAATTAACTTCATTTGTGAATATTTAAGAACTAGTATTTAGATGAAGACAGAGTGTAGTGTTCTTTAGAAAACAATAGATAATGTAGTAGGTTTCTGTGTAGCTAACTTATGCATCTCTAGCTTCATAATCATAGGTGAATAGATAAATGAAAAAAAAAAAAACATGTTTTTTATCTGGTTATGAGTTAATACTCTCTTTGTCTCGTTACACAATCAAAACTAAAGAGACCATTTAAAGATGATAGTTAATCTAGCATGATAATGTATACCACGAGAAATTCTCAGAGTATTTAAAATACTTAATTCAAGGAGGATCACGTAAGTAATTCTCAACCATTGATATTAATATTAATTTTTATATAAAAATCATATTATCTTTTTTTTAATTATAGATAATAATAAAAAAAATAAAAATAAATATATAAAAGGAGCCAACATTTTCTTCCTCCTCATTTTTCTATTGAACAGAAACGTAGAAGATTGTGTGTTTTTTATATTGTCTGTTAGGTGCGTTCAGGTTGAAAACCACGTCAAAATTTGGGGGGAAAACGTTGAAGCAAGACAGAGTAGGTTCAATGTTGATGCGTGATTTAAATATTAGTAGTATTTTAATTATTTTTTTGAAGTAAAATAAATAAGCTCATTCATTATGTATCTTACCCATATGGCGCAATTATTAAATTCATATTTGAATTGTTTTAATATTAATTATTTTTTAATTATTTTTTAAATTAATAAAATATATAACCTCATTTATCCCAATTATTATATTTATAATATAATATAATAATCTAATTTCATCTAAGTAAAATTAATGTTTTCTTAACTAATTTTTAAACCATTTTCGTTATATCACTAAAGTACTAAACTTCTAAATTTTGTTAAAGTAAAAAGAATTATAGATGCTATTAACTTTGATTAACTACCACGATTTTAAGTTTTTTTTATTCGCATTAGTATCTTAGAACTTCTTCTTAAACTAATCAAAAATCGGGAGGTAATTTTAATATTCATAATTAAAATTGTAGTTGTAATATTTTCTTACGTTAACTCAAATTTCAAGAAGGTTTAATGACATTAAAAATAATAATTTAAAAGGTATACAATTGAGATAAATTATACTTTTTCTTTCTTATCCGTGAAGAGTTAAATTAATTATAGGCTTTTGTATTCCTTCTTGTAAAAAATAAACAAAAACTTTTTGATTCATATAACATAGGGGTACCCTGTAATTTTTTTTTACATAAATAACTATTTATTCTCTATATTGTTTTCGTTTTAATCCACAAAATTTTGATTTTTTTCATTTTGGTGCTCCCAATTCGTATATCCTCTTAACTTTTATTTTTCATATTTTGCTTTATTCTGCAAATTACACTTGTGTGAAATATGTTATACGCTTTTGTAGCCTGATACATAGCCGATGAAATGTGCACTAGGATAGTAAATGACACATACTGTTGTAACAAGTCATATATCATTGTTCACTAACACTCTTTAGAAGTTGTTTGCTCAATTTTCCCTCTTTTGTTGCCTTTCGGAGACTAGTGTTTAAGTTATTCAGTTACAAGGTGCTAGCTGAAAATTGTACATTCTGACCGCTATTGGATCCTGTTGACCTAAGCAAGTAACCTTATTAAAAAAGTCCTTACCTAATAGCTGCATTAACTGAAGTTATTGTTTAGAAGATCATCTTTATTATGCCACAATGACTGTTCTATATTTAACTTTGCTTATGGAGCATTCCTTTGTTAATGTGCTCCTATGCTTGTTTTTTTATTAGACTGGCTCCAAGTAAGCTTAGAGCTTGCTGGATAAGTATTTCAGTTTCTTATTGTTATATGTATAAGAACCATATAACATGACAGTTGATGCAAGCTGTGATTTAGGCAATCATGTTAAAGAGGAGGTCCAATGATATCTTTGGTATTCTGGAAAAACCAGGATCAACTTCACATGCTTGTTCATGGTGACATGCTAAAAACTAAATGTACCTTGTTTTAAGTTGCTTAGGTACTTTATACAAAATAATCCATCTACACTCTTGTAATATGTAGGCAATTTCGGAAAGAACAAATGAGGAATTGGTGTCCAGTTTTTCAAATCAACTTTTCAGAATGAAATAGTTTTTCTCAATTCTTGAAGAATGGACATGGAATTACAATGAGAATAGTAATGATAAGAAATCATTTATTTTTGTAATTTTCTTAATATAGGATTAGAAAGCCACCTAATCAACATACAGCTCAATTAAGAATCGTCTAATTCTGGTATTGGGAACTGCATAAAGCCATTTTGTCTGTTTGGCAAATCCTTGAAGAACTCGCAATACAGAACAGTAAATTTATTAACTAATGTTACTTTATTAATATTAACATTGGGGTAGATCTGGCGGTGGTGGTTTTACTGACTGTGAAAGGCCAACTCCATTTTCTACCAGAAGAGCCATTCCCAAACCCCAATTCAGATGTGAGTCTATGTGACAATGTACAAACCAAATTCCTGTTTTGCAGCGGTGAAAGAAAATCATGTAATTAACAGATTAATATGTAATCCTGATACAAACTGTAGAAGAACACAAAGTTTTGCAATAGCTTGAAGAGTCTGGTTGAAAAAATAAAGTAAGTTTTTTTATAAATTAACATTAACTTATATATAAGGTAATTTGTAAAATCTCTCTTATATTAACTTTTTCAAAAGCTTATTTTCAACGGTTTTAACTTGCTAATAAGCTTATTTCCTTTTTTAATTCTACTTTTTTTTTCCTAAAAATGTGTATGAAGAAGTTTATCCAACAGAGTTTAGATAAGTTACCTGGATTATCTGCCACAAAACGAATGGCCACCCATCCTCCAGGAGGTGTTCCAATAGTGTTCCTCACAGGGGGATCAACAAGGTTGAACTTGAGGGGATCGGTTGCTGGGTTGAAGTTGCCAAAACCTGAACCAACTACAAAGAAGTGGTATCCGTGAACATGCATAGGGTGTTCCTCACTGGTCACCATGCTTGTGCCCTGAAGAACAATTTGCACCTTGGAGCCATACTTCAGCTTGTAGAGCTTAGTTCCTGGAGAAGGTGTCCATAGCCCTCGTGGCACATTGCCAGTGTAATCAAATTGTAAAGGAGGAACAGGAGGAAAGTCTGTGGTGAATACACCACGCATTCCTTCATAGTATGCTTGCATTAAGGAAGTGGTGGTTGGGAGCACAAAAGATACATTATTCATGCTGGCTGTGAAGCGGGTTCCATTTGGTCCTTGACACCTAGGACTATTAGGATTTGTGCAGTTGATCAACCCCAACCCAACTATAATGTATAGATTCACATCAACTCTGTTAAAGACCTTAACCTTGGTAAGACCCTTGATGCCAGCAGTGAATGCAGTTGCTGTAGGTGTATCATTGAAGGGTGGCAAAGCTGGTAGAATTGGTGATCTTGGTCTGTTTTGGTTAGTGAGTTTTGTTGATCTGTATTCAAGGATTGCTGTGGTGGTGGTGTTGTCAAAGGGTGCATTCCTAGCTGATTCATAGGCATGAGCTGCCATGTAGTAGAGTCCTGGGGGTTGATCAGCTGTGACTAGGACATTGAATGTCTGGCCAGGTCCTATCACAAGGAGTTTGGTTCTGAAGGGCTTGGTGTATGCTGCATCTGTACCAACTACAGTCATAGTGTGGTTGGCAATGGAGAAGAAGAGTTCTTGGTTGAGTGCACTGCTGATGATTCTCAACATAATTGTGTCCCCAGCATCTACTCGAACACGCACAGTTTCTGCATTGTATGTTTGTCACATCAATGAATGTGGAACATCTCAAAATAGAATTACTCTTGGGCTAGTTAGCAACAGAAATGCTAGAAATACACTACCTGACATAAAAAATGTGGATCTCACATCATGTTTAATGAAATTCTCTCATAATTTTGTAGATTTCAATAAGTTTTAATAATCAATTGAGAAAAGTGCGTTAGAGTCTGATTGGATATTTTGAAAGATTTTCTACTGAAAATAAGGAGATCTTTTTAATAAGAAAACTCTCAAAAACACTTATGATCTCTAGTCAAGAACGTGTTAGAGAACATATTGTTGGCACTCTTCGGTTAACAATTAATGCCTAACACTTATTCATCTATGCTTTAAGATTTTATTATAAAGAAGGAATACTTTTGAAGGTTGAGATAATCTGCCAATTGAAAATAACAGCAGAAGTCCTGATCCTTTATTGATTATTTTAATGTCCTTTTTGATTGTGAGGGAATGCAGACACACATTGAGAATAATAATTTCACACCTTGTCTTGAGCATCTGTAAAGATCACCAGGTTGGCCGTTAATGGTGAACGCAACAGATGTATTTGGAGGTAATCCTGTAAAGTCTGCTTGCCTTTTGAGAAGCACAAGATCCCTATCAAACCATTCCCCTGTGGCACCATCACAATACAATATGTTATGACACTAAAAATGTGAAGCTGATTAGCTTTTTGGATGCCAACTAGTGAAAAGGTTTGATCATGTGGGAGCAGATTCATTATTCAAGTGAGTTGAGCAGAACAAGAAAGTGAGTAAATTACAGGACATTCCTAATATTTGTGACATTGCACAAACTTCATTTTTTTAATGTTTACATCAACGTCTTCATAAATGGACACGTTCAATGTTTTTTCATATAATTAAGTAGTTAATATAATGTCTAACGAAGTGTGTGTCGATGTCATGTTTTTCAGACAATTAAGGGAGTTATCAGAAAGCTTTTTAGCAATCTCACGAAATATCAAGAGTGTCATTGCAATTTGTCTTGAGGATTTAGAGATATACCAAGAAGGATGGGATATTCTTGCTTAGGCATAGAAAAGGGATATGAAGAACCCAATCTGGGATATATGATGAAAGCTCCATAAGCAGTGGCTCTTAGGAAGCCAGTGTGAGCATGCCACCATAGTGTCCCTTCTTGATCTCTGATTCTAAATCTGTACGTGTAACTTCCCCCTGGTTGGATAGGACACTGAGTCACATAACTCGGCCCATCTGCCCATGGATTTCTCATCATCCTTAACCCATGCCTGATGCACAAGTCACATGATCAATTTGTAAGGAACATAATTCAAGTACGTATCATTAGCATATTAAATTAATACATGGACCAAGTATGTATCATTAGAATAGCATATACATGGATCAAGTATGTATTATTATCATAGTGAATTTGTAGCCAAGACATTAGTGTGAGGAAAAAGCTCTTGAAGAGTTAGTTATTCAAGCATGAAATTCATGTGAAAATGTATGATGATGCTATTTACCAGTGGATGGAGATGTTGTACTGTGCTGCATTTACTACTCTGATTATGATATAATCTCCGTTTCTAGCTTCCACAGTTGGTCCTGGGAACTGTCCATTGACAGTGACTATGTTTTGGGTTTTGCACAGCCTCCTCACTGGCCTAGCTTGAATCTAATTCAATCAAATTATAAATGGAATCATAGTCACTAACTGCTTCTAACCATATTGGAAAAATGTAGTGAATAGTTTATGATCATTAAGCTTGCACTTACAACAAATTCATGGAAATGTATCCCTGCACCTGAAGCAAGGGAAGCTACAAGAGCCAGAAGACCTAGTAAAAACCAAGAGCAACATGACTTACCATGGAGATGGAAAGTCTTCATTGTTGTTCTGATTTTGCTTAATGGAGTTTCATGGGTTCTGAGCTATTTGTAGTGTGAATGCCTTGGAAAGATAAATATTTTGGTCATAGTTTTGTAGTCAACAATGTACTTAATATTGAATAATTAGTCTAAAAAAGTAGAGGGACATGGTGCACAGAGCAATCAACTGTTAAATAAATGCTAGATTTTGTGATTTAGATGTAAAGACGTGGACAAGAGTAGAAATAGATCCGAATTATCAAATCTTTTTCTTTCTTTCTGAAATTGCTTGTTAAGGTACTAATAATCTTCTAATTAGGAAAATGGTGTTAATGAAGAAGAAAATAATTAGATCCATCCATACCAATCTTTCCCCTTTAATTTGGGAGAGGAAAAGGAGAATTATAATATTTGATTTTCATGCTACAAAATTATCCTTTTAAAAATATCATCTCAATAATCAAGAGGTGACGTATGGTGATTAGATAAAAAGATTTCATAAATATTTACATGAGAAGAAAATAAAAAAGAGAAAATAAATTAAACTTCTCTCATAAACCAAAATTAATTTATGCATTTTAGATTTTTAGAGAAATTAAATGAGAGAACTTTTACAAAAATTAAATGTATAAATTGATGTTATAGCTTATGAGAGAATCTCATTTATTTTCAATTCTTATTTTTTGCTTTAAATATTTGTAGAAATATATATTCAAACAGAGCATGATTACCTTTAATCATTCCACTTAAAAATTAGAGCAAGTTAATAATTTTCCTCACTCATACTTCCACTCCGTTTTCTAAGAACTTCATCTCAGAGCTAGGAATGACAACGGGACGGGTTGAGTACGAGTTTCATGATACCCGTCCTCGTTCCCGCGAGTTAAACCCATCCCTGTCCTTGTCTCTATACTCGTCGGGTATAGATTTTCATCCTCATTCATGTCTCGTTGGGTATCAGGTATACTCGTACCTGTCAATTTTTTTATTTTTTATTTTTTGTAAAAAAAATGCTATTTTTAAATTATTTTTTATTTAATTATAATTATAATTAAGTTATTTCTTTATCTTATATTAATAAATAATCATACATAAAAAAAATGAGAACGAGGACGGGTACGGGGCGGGTAAGTACATACTCGTACTCATACCCGTAACCGATTTAATATATCGGATTTTACCCGTACTCGTACCCGGTCAAACCGGGTATTTTCCGTTAAAGTCAGGACGAGTTCGGATATTACCCGCGAGTACGGGTATATTTACCATCTCTACTCAAAGCAAAGCATAATTCTTTTAGTCAAAATCATGGACTGAGAAGTCTCTAATTGATACCAGACCATTTTAATTCTAGGCTTGACACTATGTATAGAACATATAATATTTGTTAAACCAGAGAATCTACGATTTCTTGGTAAAATCACAATTAGCTATAATCACAGTTATTTACTCTTTTTTCAGGTTATTTTTTTTCTTAATTTTTTATAATATATATCAATTCATGCAATTTTATCAGTAACATACTAATTCAGTATTTTGATTGAGTCAATAACATATTTGTAAGTAATATCAATCATTTGATTCAATAATCCACACGCCAATTTCATCATGTAAATCATATTTTTCTTACATATAATTTGACAATCTCCATTTCCAATTTTATTTTGTTCCAGCACTAACGCAAGGCAATAACTCGAGCTTGGGAAAAGCAAGAGCTGAGAAGAAAGAAGATTATAGGAAGTTAAGCTCATGTGGAATTTTGTTTTTGTTCGATGGTTTTGAAAAATGTTGTTTTCGTGGTGTAAGTTTCCTATGTTTAATTGTTGACAAATGACAACACTAATAATTTAACACACCAATCTATTAGTGATCTTTATACTTGTTTTTCCTATTTTGTGTGGTTTACTCTAAGCAACAAGTATCCATATCGAGCAATGCAATATTTCAAAGAATTCGTACCACTTTTGTGTATTTTGAAAGTGGCATTACCATCATTCCTTAAAATCATCAAAACTCAGCTTAATAGAATACAGAGGATAGAAAGACCAAAATTAGACATATACTTGCCACATTTTTTCTTACAAGTTTGGTGGCCTTATATGTTTAGATAAAAATTGGAAGAAACAAATCCTCATCTATAAAATAAAATAATTATTGAAAGCATGTTTCAGCTTACCCAATAATTTTAAATTCACAAGTCTTATAATGCAAATGTGTTAAATATTTAGAGCATAATTTTATCATCTTATATGATTTGAGTAAAATTATTTCTTATAAACAAAAATGTTATGTTCGAAAAGAAATTATAAAACATAAACACATAATTAAGAACCAGTAAATATGTATTTTTACTTTTTTTTAAACTAAAGAAGTTCTTGTCTAATCATCAATCTAGGCACTAATTAATTAGTTAGACCATCTCTTTCGTATAACACATTTCAAATGAGGCACGATGATAGGTCAAAACCTCCATGTTTCCCATATAAATGATACTTGTAACAGTACTATTATAATATTGGTTATTTGCTAACCTTGTTTCTAATTAAGTAGTCACCTAACAACTTTAGCATAATTAGATTCATTTAGATGCATGGTACGTCCCAAAGCATAGGTGCCCTGTGCCAATCAACAGTGCCTTTGTGAGACTAAATTTCAATCCATATAACTTTTTACTTTTTTTTTCCTGGAGTATCCAGGGCTGAGAGCAGTGATTAATCACCTCGCTATGAGGGAGGCATTTCAAAGGGTGGGATAGGTAGCCCTAAGATTTAACGCGACTGCATACACAAGACATGATTCAAACCCCTAACCTTACTTATGTGTGGATCAACCCTTACCACTGAACCACACGCTTGAGGTTTATATGAGTTTTTACTTCTAAGAAATAGGAACAATAAAAACTAATTTTAAATATATTTTTCATTTTATTAATTATTTTATTTTTCCATCTTCTTTTTTATTTATTTATTTGTGCTTTTTTATTTTTACTAATGAGGAAGAAAGACTTAATATTTCTAAGTATTTTAATTAAATAAATAAAATAAAAATGAAAGAAAGAAGAGAATTTCTAATGTGAGTGTTGAAGTTGCGCCCTGACTCGCTCTCTCGTCTCACAAGAAGGTTAAGGCCGTGTTTGGTCGCGCGTTTTCTGTGAAAGAAGAAATGGACGACGATGGCTCCAACTCGATCCGCCGCATGTCGAGCCGAACGCGAAAAGTTGCGTCGAAAATGGCCGCCGCACTTGCCAGCTCCGACAACCGCACCCAGGCAACTATTTTTCGATTTAATTATTTACAAAAAAAGAAAAGTGTGAATTGAAATCTGATCGAAGCGTGATTTTGTTGCGACTCAATTCAGGCGGCACTTGCGCGATTGGATGCTTTGGAGAATGACAATGCGGGTTTTGAAATCGCAGATGCCAATAACGACGACGACGATGCTTCTCTTGATGACGAGGATCAAGGTTAGGGTTTTTCCTCTCTCACTCTTTTTTTACTTTTATTTCGTTATTTTTTATAGTGTTAATTGTTAATTTTAATTGCTGTTATAATTATTTATCCAAAAATAAATAAATACATTGACTGCCCTGGATATTAGTCGAATTGCAATTCATGACTCTTTTTTTTTGGACTTTAAACCTAGTTACCTTAAGTTCTGATTAGATAAACTTGTCAAGAAGTAGTTGACAGAGAAAAATAAGAAGTTAAAAAAATGAAACAAGTTTCTAAGTTAAAATTAGCTGATTTGTAATTTTTTGGAAAAACTGTATAAGTGAGCTTCTTCAAATTAGTTTATGCATAAATTTATTTTTATTTAAAGAAAAACTTACTTTATTTTTTCTTTCTAAAAATATTTCTGATGAAATTTTTAATTAATAAACCAGGAGGCAAATGCAAGTCAATGCAAGGTTTTGAAAAGTTGTGACTGATTTCGGCAATGTTACCTTATAAATTAAGGTTTAGGGATGTGTTTCTTGTAAATAAGTAAATTGATCTGGATTGATTTTCTGTAGTCGGCTTCTCCAAGCATTCATGAAGTTGACATCTTGGAACTATTAGATGAAGATTGGATTATTCGTATTTTATTTTGATAAATTGGACTTGTTAAGACACACATTTAACATAGTCATTCGATCATCGTCCAACAATTATAATATGCTGACTGCGTGAATGTGTGTAAATGCCAACTGCATTGAATCCATTTCCTAAATTAAGGGGATATGTGTAGGGGGGAAAAAGAGTGATGTTGAGCATGGTTGTCAAACTTGAGAATCTATGTAAACTTATAGAGCTTCCATTCACTTAGTTCCTTTTCCTTCCTTTTGCAGTTTATATACAGAAAAAGCAGTCTAAAGGCACCAAAAGGAAAACCAGGCAGGCAAAAGCACTTGAAGCTAGAAGAGCCCCAAGAACATTCCTTGAGCTCTTACATGAGGTTGGTGATGACACCCACAAAGGGTCATACACATAAGTAACACTCATGTTTTACTCTTGCCTTGGCTCTTGTTTTTCGTAACCCATCTCCATGAATGCAGGCCAACTTAGAATCATTGCCTCCTCATGTGCCCTCCTATTGGAAAGCTGCAGTTGGACCTCCAAGCTCAACCTCCCGCCGCCACTTCTGTACTGTTTGTGGTTTTTCTGCCAATTACACTTGCGTGAGATGTGGTGTGCGGTTTTGTTCCTATAGATGCCAAAATGTTCACAATGATACCCGTTGCTTGAAATTTGTAGCCTGATTCATAGCCCACGAAATGTGCACAAGAATAGTATTGGACACATACTATTGTAACCAGTCATATATCATCATTTACTAACATTGTAAAGGCAAATTCTTTGTTCAATTTTCCCTCTTTAGTTCTCTTTCTTAGACTAGAGTTTTAGTTATTCAGTTGCAAGGTGCTAGCTGAAAACTGTACATTCTGACCCCTATTGGATCCTGTTGATCTAAGCAAGTAACCTCGTTAAAAATGTCCTTAGATAATAGCTGCATTAACTGAAGCTATTGTTTAGAAGATCATCTTTATCAAGCCACAAGGACTATTATATTTTTTACTTTGCTTCTGGAGCACTCATTTGTTAATGTGCTTGTGTGTTTGTCTTTGATTAGACTGGCACCAAGAAAGCTTATCTCCTAGAGTTTGCTCGTAAGTATTTCAGTTTTTCGTTGTCATATGCATAAGAACCTTGTAATATGACAGTTGATGCATGTTGTGGATTTGGCAATCCTGTTAAAGAGGTCCAATGATGTCTTTGCATGTTAGATATCCCGGAACAGTCAGGATCAACTTCACATGCTTGTTCATGGTGGCCTGCTAAAAACTAAATGTACCTTGTTTTAAGTTGCTTAGGTGCTTTATACAAAATAATCCAGCTGCACACTTGTAACATGTGGCCATTTCTTCCCATTGAAGGACCAAATCTGAAATATTTTTCTAGCAACTTTTCAGAATGAAACCTTTTTTTTTTTTTACACCCTTGAAGAAATCATTTTTCTCAATATAGGGTTAAAAAGCCACCTTATCAGCATACAGCTAAGAATCGTCTACTGATACAATGGCTGGACCCAAGTCAACGACATATCTACATGAGTTAGTAATATCAATTGTTTGATTCAACAATACAAACGCAGTTTCATCCTGTGAAGCATTTTTTTTAGATGTAAGCTGACAATCTTATCTTCATCTCCGTTGTTTATTTATGTTCTGACACATTGCAATAACTCGAGTTAGGGAAAAGCGAAATAAAGAAGAGTATAGGGAAGTTAAGATCATGTTGAATTTTGTTTTTGTTCGGTGGTTATGAAAGATGTGTTCGTGTTTCAAGTCTACTATGTTGAATCGTTGACAACTGACCACTAATAGTTTAACACAAACAAAAATATTAGTGATCTATACTCGCTTTTCCTATTTTGCGTGGGTTATTCCAAGTAGCAAGTATCCATATCATGTCATGTTATAATTCAAAGAATTCATACCAACATTTGCATAAATTAACACTACTCATTGAAATTACCAAAACTCAGCTTATTAGAATACGTAGGATAAAATGGTGAGACATATACTTGTGGCATTTTTGCACTAGAGTTTGGTGGCCTCGATTCAGTTTTACATAAAAATAGGAAGGGTATGATTTAGTCAAACAAATTTTAAAAGTTTTTAAATGGAAGGGAACTTTTTCCATCTTTCAATGCCCCCTTCACATTGGCCGTAGGGCTATTCCAAATCATTCTTGGTTTCAAACTCAAATCTATATACAGTTGCGATGAATACTCGGAAGCAAAATTGTACTACTTATATTGATCTTATTTGGTTTAAATAAATTTTTTTGTTATAGACAATAGTTGCAATCTTTAAAATAAAACTATCAAGATCACTACAAGAATAAGGCAATTAAAATTTAAATTTTAGGCCCATCAATAAAATATATTTACTATTAATTTTATAAAATAAAAATGTCACATGTTGAAAAGAGTTTTGTATGCTGACAATAAAAATTATCATGTATCATTTTCATTTAAATTAAACTTTAGGCTCTATTTGTTGTTGGACTAGCCATGAAAACTATAAATCAAACACAATTTTTCTTTTACACCAACAAATACGTCTAATTACTAACTAGTAAATATACATTTTCCATTTTAAAAAAAGATTAATTATTAATCATAAATCTTGGCACTATTTAGAGCATCTATTTCGTATAACATATTTCAAATGAGGCAATTTGACCTATATACGACCTATATATAAATAAAAAAAATTCACACGAATTAAGATAAATAAATATATATAATTTTTTAGAGTTCATATAAAATATATTATACATCTTTTAAAATATATTTAATCACATTTATTATAGATAATGTTTTTATTTATTACTTTTAGAGATATTTTTGAATTAAAAATATTAAATAATGTTGACTTTATTAAAATTTACTCATATTTTAGTTCCAAGAATTTAAACATTTTTGTTTATGTATAAGTCCATAGGAAACTCTTAGCATTATTATATTTATATACTCTCAATGAAGTTAAATATAAACAATTCTGAATATAACTAACAAAAAAATAATCAATTCACCTAATTAGAAAGATTTAAATCATTTAATTTTGTCAATCGTATCTAAAAAAATACTTTTCTAATAATCCTTCCTTGAAACTTGATGTCAAGAATAAAAAATATTAAAAATATGAGATCAATTAATTGAAGTATTTCAAAGACGATAATATTAAATAAAGTAAAATTTATTTATATTTAAAACTAATTTGAAACTAACAAGTATACATTTTTTCTTATATTCATAACGCAAAGTACTATGTTTGCTAACCTTTTTTCTCTGATGTATTAACTAGTCGCCTAACTACTTTAGAGCAACCATATGCACAGTTCAAAAGCATAGGACCTTGTGCTAATCAACAGTGGCTTTGTCAGTCTGAATTTCAACCAATATGACTTGTACTTCAAATCTAAGATTTCCAAACCAATAAAAGCTTTGAAATCAAACAAGCATCAGAAATGTTAAAATTCAAATTATAGTTTGATAAATTTTAGAATTAATTGACAATTAAAATTGACAAAACAGTAGAATTTAAACGGATCAATAGAATACAAGTGTAACACTAATTGGAGAAAAGTCACTAAGCTCGTTGAAAGAATGTCTATTAAGAGAACTCTTCACCCTTGATGAAAATTCAAAATAGGAAAGAGATGCTAACCAAATATGAGGTTATGGAATAATGATGGAGAAATCTGATCAGAATATTTTAAAAATTTACTTCCATTGAAACAAATCAAACCAATGATACACTGCCAAAATTTTTGCTCAGACAAACAGCTACATCTGAGTAGATCCAGCAACAACTCAAAATGAGGGGAATGTTTAATGTACACTCCAGAAAATTTTACAAGAAAATGACCAACAAAAACTGAGGTAGCAACAACCCGTTCCACAGAAGCCAATATAGATGAAGCCAATGAAAATAACAGCAGAACAGTAGCACAATATCTCAACCCCTGTCATTGAAGATATATGTCTATTGAAATTGAAGAGTCATTTGTCAAGCTGAAATAAAACTTCAGCAGCAGTAAACCATGCCGAATCTTCACAGTTGAGCTATCTGCTGTTTCAAATGCTGTAATAACTTCAATTTTGACTCACATATGGCAGAAAAATCCATCAGTACTTTTAGCTTCCCAGTCATCATTTTCCTGGCAACCTCAGCAGGGCACCAAGACTTGAGTGATTGGGAGATACGATCACCAACTTCTGAATCATTCACTGAGGAAATAAATGTTTGTAAAATGTGAAAGACCTTCCCCGGACCATCATTATGCCCGTCTTTGTGAAGAAGAGAAAGAATGCTATCCAAATTCAAATCTTCAGGTCTTCTTTTCCATTCTCTTATCCATTTCATAACATCCTCTAAAACATGAGATAAATGCAAGACAGAATCTGTGATTGCATGAGCCAGATTCGAGCTAGACTGATAACCTGATCCACTTTTCTTTTTCTTTTTGCTAGGTGGAAAACAGGATCTCAAACAAGATTGAATCACAAGTCCATGCCATGCCAAAGGTTCTGTAACTAACTGCGTGAGAAGTTCGATGTCACTCCAAGGAGAGCAAAGCTGAGGCTCTATGGACCTAACCTTCTCTAAAATATACTTCTCCAGCAAAGAATCTAAGATATTCCAAATTCGAGGCCTAGATCCATTTCCATCTGGGTGCACAAGTTCATTGGAACTCAAGTTCCATGCGTTTAAAAATACAGTGAAATTCAACCAGTCAATCAAGTTGGAGTCAGAAACCTGCAACATTTTTTTTTAAGAGATGGATCAAATTCCAAGTAGCAAGCATGTATGACAATATATTTTCATGTATAAAAAATAAACACAGCCAGTAGTGGGAACAGAGTATCAAGTGCAAATGTTTAATAAAAATGCCCTCAAACTGCAAATTCATTTCTACTACAGCTCATTTTCTATACCATCAAATCTTACAGGTATCAATTTCTGTATTATTAATATAAAAAATAAAAAAATAAAAAATAGAAGTTATTCTATTTCATTTCTTAATTCTGAAATATCTCATGGCACAATTATGTCAATTTAGCTCTTGATTGGAAAAAATAATAATGTAGCATTTGTATTCATGTGGTATAAAATGCTAAAACAATAAAGTAATACTACTCAATCTCTGTTCAATGGATCTCCACAAAATATTCAACAGTGGCATAAAAACTTGAGTATCATACCACGGAAGATCTTTCACCATTAGAGAAACCCATGACCACTTCTATTGCTTCAGTGAGAGAAAAGCCCAAAAATTGTGCATAGCACTCCAGCAACAATTTCAGCTCTGAAGTGATGTCCGGGGTAACAGAACCATTGACCTCAACATGCTCCTTGATTGATGCTGAAGCGCTTTGAATCGAAAGATAGATCATCCGTGGAAGTAGGGATTTCTTTTCAATGACTCTCTTTAAATTTGTCTCCCTATCTTTGGTCTACATCCATTTACAAACCATGCAATAAAGAAAAAAAAAATAGTTTAGTTTTTACTGAAAGAAGTATACAAAAGCCACAAACCATCAAAGATGGGATTGACCTACCGATATTTCTCTGGGATAATAAGAAATTCCTTCGAATGGCCCTGAGACAGAAGACCATCCATTCAGATTAATATGGCAATCAACAAACCCACATAAGAAAATAATACCAGATTATAATCTGATGTCCAAACCAGGAGACATTGAACAGCATATTGTCAATTATATGAAAAAAATAGTAAAATATCATTCTGAGTCCTACCAGCTATAAGGACACCACGTCCAATTATTTGTCAATTTATTTGGACTTTTACACCCACCAAAACAGACCAACCCCATTCCCATCCAGTCTTCCAATCACTCTAAATTTACTTTTTATTTGAGGGAACAATGTTAAGGAACAACTTGTAGGTATTAGGTTACATGATTTGTAATTGTAAACAACGTAGAAGGCAGTATCCCATAAGTTTTCATTAGCTTTTCTTTTAAGGTAAGAGATTAATTTGATATTTATTTTAACCTTATCTTTAACACATACTTTGAAGATTCATATTATTAGCTTAACATATTGATGCTAAGAGTAGCAAGAATACAACACACATTGTGTCTAAGCTAAAAATATGATTGCAGAACTAACCTAAAAGGTAATTTTTCTCTGAAGTTGGTGTCCACCAGGGCCGTGTCTGCAGGTCTTCATTGAAGGTCAAAGACTTCGACCCTACCTCCTTAGATAGCTCAAGGAAGTGAATACCACATTTCAAGCCTTGAAGAACACCCTAAGAAAATATGAACTTGTTAAACCTACCGTCAAATTTATCAAGAGGTGATAAAATATGCCATAGTTTCAAGAAATGAATCACCTCTTCGTCTTCAAGATTATCTGCATTCTGCTTGAGTTGTAAAATGGGTGTTTCAACCCGTGCCACTAAATACTGACTAGAGTGTTGCAACCTATCTTTAAACTGGACAAATTCAATTACCTGGAATATAATGTTGCCTAAATTCAATCGACGCAAACAACAATATGGTGCTTTCAACATTAAATCATAACTGACATGAATCAAAGATTATCAATTTATCATGCAATGTGTATACATCTTCATGTTACTTACATGGGCAGAACCATGTCAATCAAACTAGGCACCGCTTATGCAACAGTTATGTTTTAAGTATGTCACTGACTCTCCATTCAGAATACAACAAAACATGGTCAAATCATATCATAACTTCATTTCTAACAAGGTTGAGCAGATATTAATAAATTAACTAAGAACCTTCTTTAATGTAGATTATCTAATAAACTGTTATGCATGAAGAACTCTTTTTAAAGAAGATAGGCCTGCAACTCCAACTTTATGCATCCATGTGCTCCAAGCAATTTAACTCAAGAAAAGTCTCTAGAAACAATAAAAAAAATTCCAGTATACATACTTTTGAGTAATTTCTATGACGATATGCAAGAAATGTTAAATCTGCAGATTCTCTGAAGTGATCATCCATAAACCTCAGGTAATCCTTTAGCAGATTGTTTAACTCGGTCCAAAGTGGAGATACCAGCATCTGAGGCAATATGTGGTGCAAAATATTTTCCATCAAGATATTCTTGACATCCAGGGACTTATACCTGAAGAAAAGAAAATATGCTTTATATAGGATATAAGTTACAACCAATCAGCATGACATAAACATTATGTGACCTCTAATGAAATAATGTAAAACTAATGAATAAAGTATTTTACCATTCATGTGCCGCTGAAAGTGCACCACAGTGGCTATACAAATGCAACAGCAAGATCTTGTACTGTGACACATATCTGCTTAAAGACAAGAAGTTGTTCACTTATTTTAAAGAAGAAAAAGTTCCCACTACAAAACCATTGTAAGCATTTAGATCAATATCAGCTGGTTTAAAATTAATCAAAATATGAGCTTTAAGTAAAGTAGAAGCCATTTGGTAATTTTCATTCTTTCAACTTAAAGAGACAACCCAAGAGAGTAAGGGGAGAGAGAGCAGAGAGCAAGGATGCCTAAAAAGCCGGTTTTGTTTCTTTTCTTTTATAAAAATTAAGTTGCTTATTTTTGAAGATTTTTTAAGAAAGTGATTAGCTCAGCTTCTCCTTTTAACGAGAGGAGAAGCCCTAAAAAATCTGTGCCAAACAGTACTTAAGAATATACCCCTCCATCCTTGCACCAGATATAATGAACCACACAATGTCAAAAATAGACTTCATTAACATTGATTCAGCCAAATAACTAATTTAAAAACCCATTTATGATTAAGGAAATATATTTCTAGTTTATATACTTTAGTTGACATTAGCACAAAGTACAAAAGGAAAATGGAAGATATGGTATAATGACATACGAAATACAGAATCTTCGCATTTTTTATCCTTCTCTGTGGTTATGTGAAAACCCAACAAAATCCATAGTTTCACAAGTCAAAAGCTAGCATATACCTAGAGCTAACCTTTGGAGCAATAAACTCAATACTTTTAATACAAGAAATAATATAAATAGGAAGGTCCTAATTCAGAAAAAAAAAAAAAATATCCTAATTTTTTTAACAAAAATAGTCAAAAAAACAGTATTACTGAGAATTGTGACAAATCCAAGAAATGTCATTAAATTGTAAATAATAAAGCTGACCCCACTACAATTTTTTCACACTAAAATTTTATGATAAGTTATTCTCACTTTCCAAAGAGTGATAGCTCACAAATTCATAATATAATATTATAACAGTAATGTACAATACAAAATACACGTGAAGGCACAAAAAAGAACTGCCCAGATATAGCCCAAGAACATAACTCAAATGAAATGCTTCCTCAATGTAATACATTTTTTGTGTAAGACTACAAGATATAAGGCAAAACAATTATCACTGACCTTCGTATTGCCAAACCAAACTCCAGAACCATAATTGCCTCTACCAAATAGCCAACATTCTTGGTACGCCAGAATAACTATACAAATAACCACAGGAGGTAAACAGAGGTTAGAGGATTGCATAAGTATTTAAAATGTTAAAAATTAGCTGTAATGCATTTCCAAAACCACAACAATGCGTGGCAATTTTACAGATAAAAGCACATTAGAATTAGAATCATAAACAATTCTAAAGCAGAACGAAGAATTTAAATTTAGAAGTAACAAGAATTATTGTTTGGTTTTAAAATTGAGAAGCAAACAAATTAAGAGTTTTAAATTCTCTTACCTCATGTTGTTACAGTATTTTTTATTTACTCTTTCTATAAGAAAAAAAAACTATAGGGTGAATAAAAGATTCATGTTTTTAATTCAAATTCACATAAAACTCACTTACAAAACAAGAAGCATTCAATTAATACATTTTCTAGGGACCAACATCAACAAAATACAATATGGAAAATTCGTAAGAGTTAAAACTTAAGTTCTATGTTTAAATTGAGCATATAAGCCCGGATCACTTCCTACTAAACTAATAATTGGGTTTTTAATAGAAGAAATGTAAATAAAGAAAAATCGTAAATTGCAAGAGCAGAGGGTATGATATCCATATAAAAGGAAACCAAAAGCCAAAATTGACAAATCAACTTTCTGCCAAAAGAATTTGACACATCAAATAAGAAAAAGCTGATCCAACTTTCTGCTTGTTCAACATTAAAACCTTAAAATTTAACCATTGTATCTCTCCTCCCACTCCCTGCCTCCACCCAAAAAACTACGGAAAATATGTAAATAAGTCCAGCACAACAGTAATATCTATCAGCAACTTGTAGATTCATGTGTCAACAACAAACCAAAAAAATGAAAACCACAACAAAAATAGAATAACTTCATATTTTTTTACCAATGTGAGATACAAAAAGGAAATACATAAAGCTTGATATAATATAACATACCTGGACCAAAATATTACATATCATTGAAAGCAGCTCCTCACCATGCATGCCCTCCTGTGGATCCAAATCTTTCGAAAGTGGAAGGTTTTTGCAATACATTTCAAACATTTGAACACAAGAGGCCTCAAGTTCTGGGACAAGTTTAGAAGCGTTTGTATTCATTAGATTAACACTCAATATGGAAAAACAGGCTGTGACCTACAAGTTAAGCCACAAGCTCAAATCTGAAGAAGTTTGTTTCCACTTTCCACTCTCTCTTGAGGGAAACATAAAAAAGAAAAAAGATTGGAATAAAATAATTGGAAAGGAGGGCCATTATGGTTGCGGGAAAACACACACACATGGAGATCAACTTCTATGAGATATTATGATTTAACCCAAGATATAGGCAAGCTTGGAGGTGAATTAAACCAATAATAACTCTCCTGGCTTAAATATGTTTTGTCTCTCAATCATGCGAAAAAATTGTTTTGGTCCCTCAAATTTAAAATTAATCTTCTTAGCCCTTGTAATTTGGGGTAAAAAAATATTCTAGTTCCTCTGTCCAAACGTCATTACTGAATTTGCTACACAAAAACCCGATAGAATTAAATCTATCACAGAATCCACATACTATTGTCCATGTTAGTAAAAACATCATATCAAACCCAACTGTTGGCTGATGCTGTACGGCTAACTCAATTTGCCTCTCTCAGTGATAATGCAGCTAGTCTTAAGGGACTAAAACATTTTTTTTGAAATTTAAAAACTAAAAAGATCAATTTTAAATATGGGAGACCAAAAACAAATTACCAAAAATTTGAGGGACTAAAAACAAAGTTAAACCTAACTTTATTTTATACATCTTAAAAGATAATGACTAAATCTGTTAGACTGAACATCAGCTGAGTCAAACAATAATTTCTCTTACAAGTGTTCACTAAAAAAAATCCTATGGGCTAGAAGATAAAGCACATGTTCATTCAGCCTTGGGATGGAATTATAATTAAATTATTAAAATTTAATTAGAGGACGATGGAAAAAAGAATTCAATTACTTACATTTGGTTATAGAGAATATAACACAGTTAAATACTAAATTCCCTAAAAGCCTAATTCATAAGGTGGGATCTCAGACATATTTTATATCTCTAACCGGGCATACATCACATTGGAATATTGAGAAGAACATTTAATAAATCAATGTATATTTGTATGCAACAACCCACCACTTGCAGAAGACTTGAACATGTTCCCCAGCAATAACTGTTTAATTTTGAAAAGACTAATAGACAGCCCAAGTGTCTTGGTCGGTGGAGCTGATAAAGTGTCATTGGTTTTCATCAACTTCTCCAAGAGTTCTATCTTCTGATCAGCATTGAGGATTTCAACAAACATCTCAACATCAGAAGTAAAGCAGGCCAGGTGACCAAACCTATGAGAAGTTGAAAATTAAGCAGAGTCCTTGATCAAACAATGATAAAGTTCCATTGGAGTTTTACAAGCACACTTAAAATGTAAGAGGGACCAATCTACTTAGATACAACAATTACACAGCTAGTTAACCTAAAATGGCACAGAATTGAAACATATCTGCAAACAGAATAAACTAATACAAGCAAAAGAAACTAAAACTAGTGTTTTCACCCTTCTCAATTACTAAATAAAGTAAAGTCCTGAAATAAATAGATCTGAGAACCCATAAACCTAGATTTTAAATTCTATTGGATTTTTACCGCATTAGTCAATATCAAATGTCATTCCAGCCCTCTCACAAAGCATTTTACATGCATGATGATTTAGAAGAAAAATAATTGAGTATAGGAATGATAAGTTCAGATGACGTACCTCCGAAAGTATTGCACAATGTCATTCATTAAATTGTCATCATTTTTCTTCCCACGTAAATGTTTTCTTCTTTCAATTTCCATAGTTGCCAAATATGGACACCTGATCAAGTTATTAACAGTATCTGCTTGCAACTTCTGTACACAGGCTGATGCAATTGACATTCGACCGTCAAACTGCATTCATATAGTAGTTTATAATTATACAAAAATTAAGTTCCATGAAAATAATAAATGGTCCCTGTATGCATAAACTACATATTCACCTGTTCATCTGTCAAGTGTGAGACTTTGCAATTGACAAACTTTGGGGGATGAACTGGATCATTAGCAGCCTCATCACACCAAATGCTGCCATCTTCTAGCAAACAGCCTAGGTAATGAAGGAAACACTCCCAGTCATCTGGACTGCCAAATGATGAAACAATATCAATGGATAAAAAGCTGGGGACAGAGTAAAAGACGAGTAAAAAGAAAACTGAGCTTAATTCAGGATAGCAAACAATCTAGAATTTTGAAATTTTTTGTCTGAACAAGTTGGCATATCCAGGCATACCATGACTCTAGAATTTTGTGATAAATATCAGCAGCAGCAGTGTAGTCACCTGCCCGAGCCAGAAGTCTCCCCTGTCAACTTAAAGTCAAAGTACAGAGGTTGATAAGAAAGGTCAAATAAGAAAATTAAGAATAATGCTCCAGATTGCTATTACTTTTATATTTTATAATTTTATAAAAGAATACATATTGCAGAGAAGAAAAGATACAAGGGTAAAGGAGGATAAGATATAACAAGAAATTATTTGAAGAGCACCTGAAGCCATAAAAACAATCCTAGCTCAAAACAAGTTAATTCTTCATTTTGCTTGATTCAATTAATTGATCTTTCAATTCAGCCAAAAGGGTTTGAAAGACTAATTCTTATGGAGTATTTTCCAAGAAAGCATGCTCCTATATTTACTATCAAGTGAAAGTTCAAAGCTTCATCTAATGTTCAAATATTTCATTGGACAATACTACTTTATAGGATTAATTCTAATGACATTTTGAAGTTTTGTATATTAGAGAAGAGAATAGGATAATAAATACTTTTATTTGTTGTATTATTTACATGTATTCAAATGTATTTTTCTGCTTGTATTTGCTAACACTTTAGGTTAGTTAGTCTTGTTGGCTTACTAACTCTTGAGTTAGTTAAGTCCGTTAGGTCTATATATGTAGGTGATACCTCTCGTGTATCACTTTATCAAATTCTCTCTTATTCAATAATATTCTCCTTAAGAAATCCTCTTTCAATCCTTTCTCTCATATTGTACATTTAACAAAGCTTTGACATCTTGATATGTGTGATGTATCTCTTTCATTAAGAGAGAGCTGCCATTTTTTTTCTACACTCTTTGAAAATATGCACTTTCAATAGTGAACCATAGATCAAAAATCTCATTATTCACTTCCAAACAAATTTTAATTTCTAAATAGACCATTGAAAGAAGTTTGTCTAAAGGATCAATTTTTAAATATTAATCATTCTAATACTGCATGGAATGGAACATTTTCTATTAACCTTGGAACATACAGATTTATTTGATTACGACTTACAACTTCAACTAATGAGAAGCATCAATGAACCAATGTCCGGTTAATTTAATCAGATGGTCATTTATACCCAAAAAAAATAACATACTAAATTGAAAAGTTAAAACACTAAACAGAAGTTAAAAAATAGAGAAAAAGCTATTGAGATTACATGCATTCGTAGCTTATCAACTTCAATCATCAACAGTGATCCCAATTTCCCAGAGAGAATTTCCAAAGCATCCCCAAACTTAGCTTGCCGATCCAATAAAGAAATGTAGATCATAAGAGCTGCAACCAATTTTGAAAATTTAAAAATAAACACATATGGTTTCCTTAATGATACAAGAAAATCAATCCAATGGTTGATTACTCTTCGGGATTGGGTTTCTCATGTCTTTTTCGCATTTCCTCCTAACACAATTCTAGTGTCCACAATTTAGTGCTCAATTCAAGATCCCACTATTTCTTGGAATTTTCCTTGGCCCAGTATTCAATGAGGACTTTTAGTTTTTGTTAAAAAGCCAAACATCTCTGGAAATATGCAGTATATGCTTATATCATGCATTATTATGCATTAGAGCCTTTGGTTGGAGTGCAATTCTAATATCTTTAAGGAGAAATCTCTAATGAGAGACTTCTTTGGTTAAGGAGAAGATATTTGGCTTCTACTTGATGTAAATCTGGTGGTTTTGTTAGAGGTTTCTCTTATTAGACACGTGTAAGCTTTGCTTCATTGATGTTTTTAAATCTCTTTTGTTTATATTTTCATTCTTGAAGAGGGTCTTTTATTCTCAAATCTTACTATAATTTCCTTTTATATCTAGACAAATTTATTTTTATCCAAATAATTAATAACAGATAAGAAAGAGATAAGATCACCTTCAGGCTCGTGTAAGCTATGAGAAGCAACATGCTTTTTAAGTAAGCCTTCGGCTAGAAATAAAAGTTTGTCTTCTCCATTGCCACAAAGTACCTATCAAGAGTGCCCATAAAATAAATCAATAGAATATGTTCTAGACAAAATAATTATCATTCCCAACCCAAGACTATCCCATTGCAAAGTAACACACTCCTTTTTTAATACACACTGTTATTGGTTAAAATTTATTAAAAACTACAAAATCAGAGTCATTAAATAATAAGTGGACCCACAAAAATTTGTAATTTCCAATAAATTTTAAAGTTCAAAAGACAGTGTTAGGGAGTGTTACTAGTATTTCTCTTAAAAACCAATGAATGAAGTTGATGTTTATATTTCAAAGAACTTCTAGTCATATTTTTTGTTATCCCAGCAATGCAATATGTTCATAACTGAATCACCATTAACCTAATAGCAGTTGTGTAGGTTCTTTGCCAAACAACTTACTTTCTAATCTATTCATCATATCATGGCATTTCATTTTGAGATAAAAAGAAGAGAACTAGGGAGAACCTGTAATTGTATGCTACAAACTGCCCAAAGAAGAAACCTCTCTTCTCCAACAAGTTTGTACATTTTGATGGCCGTCTGCCAATTAGACAAAAGCAAAATGTTGAGTTGTTAAAATAAATAAAATCACAACAACAGACATCCACACATATAAGCACAAACCTGTTGCTGCTTCACGAATGAGTACTCTCTAACATAGCAATTAAACAGCCCCATCATTAGTTCCAAGTTACTAGGGAATTTACTGCAGGCATGTTCATAACACCCAGTAGCCAAATCCACTGCTCAAATACGCACACTCTAGTCAACAATCAATACAAACACACAACACACGTAACCAATGCATCAAAAGACAGTAAAACAGCCATGTTTATTTGTTAGACTAAAATATGCTTCCAATCCTTACCATCTTTTGATTTTAGTCAGCTCAGCATTTGCACAGGTACGTAATGGCAAAGATTCAAGGTATAACGGCAAGGATTGAGTGAAAAATGCCAAAAATTATGAATATTACACTGATTATCTTTAAAGAATAATTTTAAAAGGAATAAAATCAAAACGTGAGTATAATAGTATTACTGTATCGCTATATTACCAAAACCAAAAACATTTTTAAGTCTATTTGTCATGAAGCATCAAATTAGTTAGCCGAACTGAAAAGAAAAAAAAACATATATCGAAGCTCTAAGTCTAACCAGTTCAGTCTCTGTTTCAATTTCAAAACATTGCATACTATACAACAACATCACACATGGCAGCAAGAAGCAAAATAAATAACTGAACGAAAACTTACAGTGATCCAATCGCTGAAACACAATCTGCAGCGTGCTGAGAGTGAGATCGTCCATCAACAGAGAATCGTTGGCGTAGAGAAGCTCCTTCGCATTGAGCGCGACGGAAAACGCTTCCTCGGGCTTCCCCATCCGTTCCAACACGAGCGCTTTCAGAGCCTACATGAAAAAAAAAAAAAAAAAAA